GAACCCTTTTTAACAGGTTCTGGTCCAGATCTAATAAAACAGATCTGGGATGTGATTGCAAGTAGAAACCTCATGTAAGAGCTTGGAAATGTAAATATTGTGATTCTTACAGCGAAGCAACTATTGTGGGTGGACCCCTAGGCCCTGGAAGCAAGCTGTATTTTGACCCACCAGTTGATGATGAAAATTGGAAAGGTCCCTTCGCTAATGGGACCTGGGCTCTAAAGAGGCACTACTGAATTTGTGGCCAAAATGCTTACTGCAGGCTACCTCCAAACTGGCCAGGGATATGTTATGTGGGGTATATTAGACCATTGTTCTTTCTGCTACCACAAGTTCAAGGAAATCAGTTAGGAATCAAAGTATATGATGATCTAACTAGAGAGAAGCGGTCCATTGATACATCCCTGGTTGGAAGGAGCACCCAAAAGTAGGGAAAAGATGAATGGCCACCTAAACGGATCATACAACACTATGGACCAGCTACCTGGAACCCAAATGAATTAATATCAGGTGCCAGAGAACCCATTTATAATCTAAATCGGATAATTAGGTTGCAAGCTGTCTTTGAAATAATAATCAACCAGACAGCTACAGCTCTTGACCTTCTTGCTGACCAGTCTACTCAGATGAGAAATGCAATATTTCAACATCGGATGGTATTAGACTATTTATTAGCAGAAGAAGGGGGGGTGTGTGGAAAATTGAATGACTCAAACTGCTGTTTGCAAATAGATGACAATGGAAAAGTGGTAAAACAAATAACAAAAGGAATAAGAAAGTTAGCCCATGTACCGGTCCAAACATGGAAAAGATGGGAATGGGACATGTTTTCATGGTTACCTGGTGGCCTATGGGTCAAACAAATAATTTTTTTCCTCTCATGTGTTGTAGCAACTCTAATCTTTTTACCATGCATGATCCCTTGCTTAATACAACTCATTCAACATGTGATCAAAAGAATGCAGGTAGTAGCCGTGCCTACTGATCCAGAGATAGCTACAAAAGGGCAGAAAGTAATGCCACTGCAAATAATTGCAAAGCCAAAAAAGACCCAAGAACAAGAAATTAGGTCAATGATAACTAAGGTTTGTAAAGACAATTATTAACAAAAATTAAAAGAGGAGGGATTGAGAGGAATGATGAGCTTGTCTTTACAAACAAGCTGTGGGTCAGTTGATAAGATGTAGCTATCAGTGAGAGACGACAGAAACAATGGGATGGATTCCAGTAGAAGATCAAAGAGGCACTGAAAGAACACTATGAATTCCATAAAAATTAAGAAGGGATTATGCATTGGGGGTGGGGGGGGGAAGGTACCCCAGGTGTCAGGCGTTCCGGGAAGCCTGTACCTCTCAAGTACCTCAGCCTATGGGGAAAGAGAGAAGGGACAAGTGGCCGGGAATTAGGATAAAAAGGAGGCTGCGCCCTCCAAAAATTTGAGAGACCCTAGGGGAATGCCCCATGGCCTCTCCCTTTATTTGAATAAAGAAAAAGGACTCCTCTGTCTCCTTTTTGGACATAAACCTCTGGTGTTCGTGGATTAATTTTCCTGACATAACTAATGAAAACATTATGTAATCTGTACCAATGAATGCTGATGCCTCTGTTTGTTGAGATGTATAAATAATATAAAGTTTTGGTGAGTTAGTGTAAAGTTTTGTGGGTTACCAACTGCCTCCCTTCTTTGTGCAATCTAGAATAAGTAGAAGTACCTTGGTGTGCATTGATGCTTAGCACTGGGTAATAAGTCTGTATTCAGACCAGTTAGATCTGTAAGGAAGTGTTGGTAGAGTTTGTCAGAAATCCCTATCCTCTCTTCTGCCTCATTCCTACCTCATGGCATTTGTTAATCCTCAAGAAAATAAGAAATATCACCACTTTTCAAATGTTTTTGAAAAGTGGATGTAGAAATATATTTGATTCAAAGAGCTGAAGTGCCATGGATTGTAGGAGACAAGAAAAGTCATATAGAATAAAGGGCCTTTGTTCACTTTTTTTCACAAAAAGCACTTTGGGAAATGTACAGCTGACATGAAGATTAAAAACAAGTTATTTAACCTGCGCGTGGACGCTGCATGATCAGAGTGCTGACTAGTGAAGAGGATGTGTGAACAGCAACACAGGAGATGGCATGCTGCCAATGCGTGTTTGTTTTAGTTCGCAAGAATGTTAACAAGTATAATTTTAGCCAGAGTATTTTTAGCACAGTCTAACAACTTTACCTAGTTGTAGGGTATGTAAGGCCTTACTTGATGGCAATAAATTTGATTCTCTTTAGAAGAAGCAAGAGTCCATGCTCTCATTAAGGACTATGGGTCAATTACTATTACATAACTTTTTTCCTTCTTATTAGCAGGATTTTTCCATCAGATTTGATTTCCCTTTGAGAAATCTTACATATGCCTAGAAGGAATGGGATGACATCAGGTTGGTGTCTGGTCACTAGTGGGGTTACAGGGCTCTATCTTCCACACTGTGTTCTTCAACCACTTCTGTTGGGGAAACAGTGAAACCTTATGAATATGATTGTTTAGCAAAAGATTCTGAAAATATGAAACCTAGAATCGAAATAGAAATGAAAGCTAGCTTTGAGCCATAGGATTCTGAGTGCTAGTTACTATATAACCAAAGAACAATAGCCAAGACAGCTAAAGGAGAATCCCTGTTGATAGAACCATACCCTTCTGCTGATGGAGAATCCAAAGGTCAAGCAGCAAGAGAAGAATTTGAAAGGTAGCTTTTAGAGTTTAAAATGTTACACAGTATGGTAATGTAGTAGTTCTTATAGGCAATAGGTAAATTCTTTAGAATGTGTGTCTCGTAGTGGTTGGTTACTGGGAATTAGAATATTTACTATAGAAAAGGATATAATATACTGTAACAAGAACTTTGCTACCTTAACTCTCTCTCTTAGCTCTTACTCTTAACTTCCACGCTCCTTTTGCTATCTCCTCTCTTACTCTTACCTGCCCTTACCCTCTCTTAACTTCTCCCCTCTCTCTTCACCTGCTCCCTTAATCCCTGCTCTTTCTCTTGCTCTTACTCTTACCTGCCCTTACATGCTCTTACTTTTATCCTCTCTTAACCGCACCTCTCTTAACTCTTACTCCTCCTACCGTCTCTCTCCCCTCTCTTACTTTTACCCGCTCTTTCTTAGTTCCCTTTTTCCCTGCTCTTACCCGCTTTTCCCCCTCTTTCTCTACCCCTTAATTACATTCTTCTCCCATGCTCCCCGACTCCCATCTCCACTCTCTCCCTCCTTGACCACATGTATGCTGTGGCTGGCAGCGGAAATGGGTCTCTTCTTCCCTCTATCCAAATAATAAACTGCTTATACCTGAACAGCTTGACCCTGGAGAAGTCTCTCACCATGTGTACTTTGTACATCAACACACTTCTAAGAACTGAATGCAGGACTTGAAGTTAAATTTGCTGATGATAGTAAATTACAATGAGCTGTCAATTTCCTCAGGGGCAGGGAGGCCCTGCAGAGAGACCTTGATAAATAAGAGGCTTGGGCAACCATCGACCTGATCAAGTGCTGGATTTTTCATTTCCTTTGCTCACTATCAAACTCTTCTTACAATCTAGTCTTGCAATAGTCATCAAATTACATCTTGAAAAAGGAAAATATGTGCCATTTGATGAGATTTAGAAGGTTGACTCAGATTCATTGTTGGGGGCTCTAAACAACTTGGTCTAGATGTTCCTGCTCATGGTTGGAAGGTTGGACTAGATAGCCTTTAAAAATACTTTTGATACAAACTATTCTATGATTCTTTCATTAATGTGTTTGTCCACCTCTAGAGATGAGGTTTGTGTTCCTGGCACTGGAATGGAATTGTCTGCTTTAGATATGTTAGTTGTTCAAATCACTCTGCACAGAACTCGTAAATATAACTTAAAGAGAAGCTCCTGAAGCACATGTAATTGTGATAGAATAGAGCATACTTTTATGTCTCTTTATGTTCTTTGAATGCTTTTCATTCTTGTTATGTGTTTGTCGACTTTGTGAAGCTGTAATGACTCTTACTGGCATTTTGACCAGAGAGCTAAGGTTCCTATAGCAAGTTAGTTTTTTGCAATTTTAGAGGCAAATCCAAAAGAACCAGGAAATATGAGCAACCTCAGATGTGGGGTTGTGTTCCCACTTTTGCAAGGTTAAGTAATTTTTTTCAGAGAAATCCTTGGTCTGAAAAAATCACAGGTCTGAAATCTGCCCCAAATTAAGGAAAAATGTCTATATTGATCTGTCTGTGTTTCATTTCTCTAAATTACAGTAGAGCAAAATCCATTAAAGACATGCGAGTTGAGAAGACTTGAGGGACACTGTGAAGTTTAGTTAGTTAATTGTAAAGCCAAAAACCTTTCTTACTTATGTGCTAAAGCCACACCACTGTTCAGGAAATCACATTAAAATGAACTTAAATTTAAGCTTATGCATAAATCTCACTAAATATGTGCTAAACAGGCATCCCAGAGACAAAGCCTTTTTTGAACAGAAGCTATAATTAATATGTTGCTATTCTGAAATAAAAGCTGCTACAGAAACAAAAATCAGTCATAATCATCATACCATACTCAATACATTGAAATAATCCTATTTTCTATTATTTTAACCTCAATATTCAGCTTTTAAACAAAAATAACAAATGGTCAAATTTAAATATTAAACAGATTTTTAATTGTAATTATATTTCATGAAACATGAGTTCTAAATAAAATAATTACAAGTGTGTTGCCAGACTATGTGGACATTCAAATAACTACCCTAAAGAATGTCCTTAATAGCTACAAGTAATTTTGCCTATACATTTTAATACTTCTAAGAAAAAAAATGCAATCCCAAATGCCATACTGTTCTCAAATCTTTTACAGAAAGCAAAGGACAGAAGAAAATATTGTATATATAGTTCAGTGACCATTTAAATCTCAATTCTAGATTGACTCTGTAAATTAATTGCCGCCATACAATTTATTTTACATATGTGATGTCTTTTTTCCTTTTGAGCTTTTAATTGCCTCTTTCTATGGACTTAAATTGATAAGTTAGGTAAACAAGTGAGTGGTAAGAATGTTTGTTATTTGCATGTACAAACAGTATCTATTTGTTTCGGTGATGCTTTTTCTGGATTAAAATCAGTGAGTAAGGCCAGACCTTATTCCTGTGAATATAAAAAGCTTTGATGTGATATGTTTATGGTAAAATAGTAGTTAAACAAAACATCAGTTCAGAACTTTGCTGGCAGGATCTCTGTGTGCTTTGAGGAAGGAGTATGGAAAACATGTTCACCTCATTAAGCTTGGCTGAATGTGCTGCAAGAATTTTTTGTGTCTGTTGCCTCCTTCAAAAAAAAGAATTTTCCTATTTCTCTACAAACCCTGATAATTATAATTCAGTTAGTTTCCTCTTACAGAATTTCCTTTTTATTTATTTCTTAATTTATTTGTTAAACAGCATCCTGTATCTTCCTTGGACAAGTCAGACAGGACTGGGACACACTATATTTAGTACCAGTGTAGTGAACATGTACAGGAACATATTTGGGTAGAAGCCCTCAACTGTCTCTGATTTTCAGAAGGTCATTGTTTTGGATTAGGACAGCTACTATACTCCTGCTTTGGTTTAATAGT